GTTGCAGTGTTGTAAATGTTGCAGGTGTTGTAGTGTTGAGGGGTTTGTAGTGTTGGGAGGTGTTGTAGTGTTGCAGGTGTTGTAGTGTTGCAGTGTTGTATGTTCGGTGTAGTGTTGCAGGTGTTGTAGTGTTGCAGGTGTTTAGTGTTGCAGGGTTTTTGTTGTAGTGTTGCAGGTGTTGTAGTGTTGCAGGTGTGAGTGTTGTAGTGTTGAGTGTTGGGTGTTGTAGTGTTGCAGGTGTTGTATGTTGCAGGTGTTTGTAGTGTTGCAGGTGTTGTAGTGTTGCAGGTGTTGTAGTGTTGTAGTGTTGCAGGTGTTGTAGTGTTGCAGGTTTGTAGTGTTTGCAGGGGTTTTAGTGTTGCAGGTGTTGTAGTGTTGCAGGTGTTGTAGTGTTGCAGGGGGTGTTTGCAGGGTTGTAGTGTTGCAGGTGTTGTAGTGTTTGAGGTGTTGTAGTGGTTGCATGGTTTGTGTTTTCAGGTGTTGTAGTGTTGCAGGTGTTGTATGTTCAGGTGTTGTAGTGTTGCAGTGTGTGTTTTCATGTAGTGTTGCAGGTGTTGTAGTGTTGCAGGTGTTGTAGTGGTTGCAGGTGTTTAGTGTTGCAGGTGTTTTTTAGTGTTCAGGGGTTGTAGTGTTGCAGGTGTTTGTAGTGTTGCAGGTGTTGAAATGTTGCAGTGTTGTAGTGTTCAGGGTTGTAGTGTTGCAGGTGTTGTAGTGTTGCAGGTGTTGTAGTTTGCAGGTGTTGTGGAGTTGTTGAGAGTTTGCAGGTGTTTGTAGTGTTGCAGGTGTTGTAGTGTTGCAGGTGTTGTAGTGTTCAGGTGTTGTAGTGTTGCAGGTGTTGTAGTGTTGCAGGTGTTTTTAGTGTTGCAGTGTTGTAGTGTTGGGAGGTTTGTAGTGTTGCAGGTGGGTTGTAGTGTACAGGTGTTTTGGGGGTTGCAGGTGTTGTAGTGTTGCAGGTGTTGTAGTGTTGCAGGTGTTAGTTTACAGGGGTTGTAGTGTTGCAGGTGTTGTAGTGTTTGCAGGTGTTGTAGTGTTGCAGGTGTTGTAGTTTCAGGTTTGTTAGTGTTGCAGGTGTTGTAGTGTTGCAGGGTTGTAGGGGTTGAGGTTTGTGTAGTGTTGCAGGTGTTGTAGTGTTGCAGGTGTTGTAGTGTTTGCAGGTGTTGTAGTGTTGCAGGTGTTGTAGTGTTGGCAGGTGTTGTAGTGTTCAGGTGTTGTAGTGTTTGCAGGTTTTGTAGTGTTTCAGGGGTTTGAAATGTTGCAGGGGTTTTGTAGTGTTTTCAGGTGTTGTAGGTTCCAGGTGTTTTTAGTGTTACAGGTGTTGTAGTGTTGCAGGTGTGTGTGTTGCAGGTGTTGTAGTGGGTTTCAGGTGTTGATTTAGTGTTGCAGGTGTTGTAGTTAACAGGTTGTTGTAGTGTTTGCAGGTTTTTATTTGCAGGTGTTGTAGTGTTACAGGTGTTGTAGTGTTGCAGGTGTTGTAGTGTTTTCAGGTGTTAAGTGTTGCAGGTGTTGTAGTGTTGCAGGTGTTGTAGTGTCGGGTTGTAGTGTTCAGTGTTGTAGTGTTTGCAGTGTTGTAGTGTTGCAGGTGTTGTAGGTTGCAGGTGTTGTAGTGTTCAGTGTTGTAGTGTTGCAGGTTTTTGTAGTGTTGCAGGTTGTATGTTCAGGTGTTGTAGTGTTGCAGGTGTTAGTGTGCAGTGTTGAAGTTTCAGGTGTTGTAGTGTTGCAGGTGTTTTAGTGTTTCAGGTGTTGTAGTGTTCAGGTGTTGTAGTGTTTCAGTGTTTTGGTTGCAGGTGTTGTAGTGTTGCAAAGGGGTTGTTTGTGTTGCAGGTGTTGTAGTGTTGCAGGTGTTGTAGTTTGCAGGTTTTATGTTAGTTGTTTGCAGGTGTTGTAGTGTTCAGGTGTTGAAGTGTTGCAGGGTGTTGGTAGTGTTGCAGGTGTTGTAGTGTTTTCAGGTGTTTGTAGTGTTGCAGGTGTTGTTGTTTTAGTGTTGCAGGTGTTGTAGTGTTGCAGGTGTTGTAGTGTTCAGGTGTTGTAGTGTTGCAGGTGTTTGTAGTGTTGCAGGTGTTGAAATGTTTTCAGGTGTTGTATGTTTCAGTGGTATGTTACAGGTGTGTAGTGTTGCAGGTGTTTGTAGTGTTGCAGGTGTTGTAGTGTTGCAGGTGTTGTAGGTTGATTAGTGTTGCAGGTGTTGTAGTGTTACAGTGTTGTAGTGTTCAGGTGTTGTAGTGTTGCAGGGTTTTAGACAGTAGTTGTAGTGTTCAGGTGTTGTAGTGTTGCAGGTGTTTTGAAATGTTGCAGGGGTTGTAGTGTTGCAGGTGTTGTAGTGTTCAGGTGTTTGTAGTGTTACAGGTGTGTAGTGTTGCAGGTGTTGTAGTGTTGCAGGTGTTGTAGGTTGCAGGTGTTGTAGTGTTGCAGGTGTTGTAGTGTTGCAGGGGTTTTTAGTGTTGGGAGGGGTTTTTAGTGTTGCAGGTGTTGTATGTGTTCAGGTGTTGTAGTGTTGCAGGTGTTGTAGTGTTGCAGGTGTTGTAGTGTTGCAGGGGTTTGTGTAGTGTTGCAGTTTTTAGTTTGCAGGTGTTTTAGTGTTTCAGGTGTTTAGTGTTCAGGTTTGTAGTGTTGCAGGGGTTGTAGTATGTTGCAGGTGTTGTAGTGTTGCAGGTGTTGTAGTTGGCAGTGGTAGTGTTACAGGTTTTTGTCAGTTTACGTGTTACAGGTGTTGCAGGTGTTTTAGGTTGCAGTTGTAGTGTTCAAGGTTGTTGTAGTGTTCAGGTGTTGAGTGTTGCAGGTTTGAAATGTGCAGGTGTTAATTTGTAGGTTTGCAGGGTTTGTAGTGTTCAGGTGTTGTGTGTTACAGGTGTTGTACGGGGTTGAGGGTTTTTTGTGTTCAGTGTCGTAGGTTGCAGGTGTTGTAGTGTTGCAGTGTTTAGTGTTTGCAGGTGTTGTAGTGTTGCAGGTTTGTAGGTGTTTGCAGGTGTTGTAGTGTTACAGGGGTTGTAGTGTTGCAGTTTGTAAGTGTTGCAGGTGTTGTAGTGTTGCAGGTTTTGTGTGTTGCAGGGGTTTAGTTTGCAGGGTTTAGGTTTCAGGTGTATTTAGTGTATGCAGGGTTGTAGTGTTGCAGTGTTGGTTTAAATGTTGCAGGTGTGTAGTGTTACAGGTTTTATAAGTTTGTAGTCTCCAATAACTAGAATTATTACACAGGATGTTGTTTTTGCTTCCCAATATTAAATCTAAGTGCTAAACCCATAAGGATTATAGTGCTGCTCCCAATAGACAGAATCTATCACAAGGATTATACAGTGCTGCTCCCAATAGACAGAATCCATCACAAGGATTATACAGTGCTTGCTCCAATAGACAGAATCTATACAAAGGGTATACAGGCTGCTCCCAATAGACAGAATCTATCACAAGGATTATACAGTGCTGCTCCCAATAGACAGAATCTATCACAAGGATTATACAGTGCTGCTCCCAATAGACAGAATCTATCACAAGGATTATACAGTGCTGCTCCCAATAGACAGAATCTATCACAAGGATTATACAGTGTGCTCCCATAGCAGAATCTATCACAAGGATTATACAGTGCGCTCCCAATAGACAGATCTATCCAAGGATAACAGTGCTGCTCCCAATAGACAGATTTTCACAAGATTATTACAGTGCTGCTCCCATAGACAGAATCTATCACAAGGATTATAGTGCTGCTCCAATAGACAGAATCTATCACAAGGTTATAATGTGTTGCGTCCTATGCAGTCTTCACAGGATTTCAGTTGCAGGGGTTAATAGACAGAATTTCCGGTTATACAGGTGGCTTGTCCAATTGCAGATCTATAAAGGGTTATACAGTGCTGTCCAATATGAAATTATACAAATAACTTTTGTCCAAAGCAAATCTCCAGGATTATAACTGTCCAATCGAACTAACACAAGGTTTATAGACTGCTCCCAAAGACAAATTCAATCCAAATTATAATCTCTTTAAAAGTCTATCAACAAGGATTATAAGTGCTGCTCCCAATAACAGAATCTTCACAAGGATTATACAGTTGCTGGGTCCCAAAGGGCAGAAACTATCACAAGGATTATACAGTGCTGCTCCCCAAAAGACAGAATCTATCACAAGATTATCAGTGCTGCTCCCAATAGACCCGAATCTATCAAAGGATTATAAATGCTTTCTCCCAAATAGACAGAATCTATCAAAGGATTTACAGTGCTGCTCCAATAGACAGAATCTATCACAAGGATTATACAGTGCTGCTCCCAATAGACAGAATCTATCACAAGGATTATACAGTGCTGCTCCCAATAGACAGAATCTATCACAAGGATTATACAGTGCTGCTCCCAATAGACAGAATCTATCACAAGGATTATACGTGCTGCTCCCCAAAAGACAGATCTATCACAATGGATTAACCGTGCTGCTTCCCAATTTGACAAGAACCCATCACAAGGATTATACAGTGCTGCTCCCAATAGACAGAATCTATCACAAGGATTATACAGTGCTGCTCCCAATAGACAGAATCTATCACATTAAAGATAAAGTGCCGCACTCACTCTGGCCAGAGGGTTTCTTATTCTTTAACAAGGAATTCCTACAAAAGGGAGGAGGCCCCCCGAATAGGGTACCCAAAAAAATATGGAAAAAGGAAAACTGTGCTCCCAACAACCCTTTTAAAAACTGGCCCAAATACATTGGGACTCCCGCCCAAATTGGCCAGAATTTCTCCACACGATAACCCCCGGGTTTAAAGCCGATCCAAAGAGGCCTTCTCAAGCTATTACACATAAAAGAATTGGCTTGACAGGAATAATTTTTTTTACAAAAGGGTAAATATCCCCTGAAGGCAAAATATTCCCCCCAAGGGAAAAGATATTACCTCACAAGAGGTTATTCCCTTCATGACAAAATATCCTGAGCGGGGAAAATGCATATTTTAGACGTGATCCAATTCCTCGGATCAAGAGCTTCATAGCCAGGAGAATAAAACTCAAAATACAAAATAACATTTATTTGGTTTATGAAATATTTGTCTCTGTAGACCAGGTCTTTATAGAGGGGGGGGGGTAAGGTTTGATCTGAGGATGTAGAAGGCACCTCTAGGCCCTTGGATGAAGATCCTCATTGTTCCTTGAAGAAATATATGTAGTGGAGTAGGAACAGCAGAGAAGGTACTACAGGCCTGCTGCAGTAGGCTGGGCACCACTATAGGCCTGCTGAAGTAGGCTGGCCACCACTATATGCCTGCTCCAGTAGGTTGTCCACTATAGGCCTGCTGCAGTAGGCTGGCAACCATTATAGGCCTGCTCCAGTAGGCTGGCCACCACTATAGGCCTGCTGGCCTTCACGAATTTCATTAAATTTCTCCACATACTGCTGGACTGTATCTTGTGGTGTGTGTATGTCTTGATAGTGAGCCTGTAACGTGATTATTATTATTATTATTATGTGCTGGTAGTCAGCCTGTAACATTATTATTATTATTATTATTATTGTGCTGGTAGTCAGCCTGTAACAATGATTATTTTTTTTTTAACAAGTCGGCCGTCTCCCACCGAGGCAGGGTGACCACCGAGGTCAGGGTGACCACGAGGCAGGGTGACCACCGAGGCTGGTGACCACGAGGCAGGGTGACCCACCGAGGCAGGGTGACCCACCCAAGCGGGTGACCCACGAGGCAGGGTGACCCACCGAGGCGGGGACCCACGAGGCAGGGTGACCCACCGAGGCAGGGTGACCCGAGCAGGGTGCAAAAAAAGAAAGAAAATCCCAAAAAAGAAAATACTTTCATCATCATTCAACACTTTCACCACACTCACACATTATCACTGTTTTTGCAGAGGTGCTCAGAATACAACAGTTTAGAAGCATATACGTATAGAGATACACAACATATCCCTCCAAACTGCCAATATCCCAAACCCCTCCTTTAAAGTGCAGGCATTGTACTTCCCATTTCCAGGACTCAAGTCCGACTATATGAAAATAACCGGTTTCCCTGAATCTCTTCACTAAATATTACCCTGCTCACACTCCAACAGATCGTCAGGTCCCAAGTACCATTTGTCTCCATTCACTCCTATCTAACACGCTCACGCACGCTTGCTGGAAGTCCAAGCCCCTTACCCACAAAACCTCCTTTACCCCCTCCCTCCAACCTTTTCGAGGACGACCCCTACCCCGCCTTCTGTCCCCTACAGATTTATACGTTCTCCATGTCAATCCACTTTGATCCAATCTCTCTAAATGACCAAACCACCTCAACAACCCCTCTTCTGCCCTCTGACTAATACTTTTATTAACTCCACACCTTCTCCTAATTTCCACACTCCGAATTTTCTGCAAAATATTTACACCACACATTGCCCTTAGACAGGACATCTCCACTGCCTCCAACCGTCTCCTCGCTGCTGCATTTACCACCCAAGCTTCACACCCATATAAGAGTGTTGGTACTACTATACTTTCATACATTCCCTTCTTTGCCTCAATAGATAACATTTTTTGTCTCCACATATACCTCAATGCACCACTCACCTTTTTTCCTTCATCAATTCTATGGTTAACCTCATCCTTCATAAATCCATCCGCTGACACGCCAACTCCCAAATATCTGAAAACATTCACTTCTTCCATACTCCTCCTCTCCAATCTGATATCCAATTTTTCTTTATCTAAATCATTTGATACTCTCATCACCTTACTCTTGTCTATGTTCACTTTCAACTTTCTACCTTTACACACATTCCCAAACTCATCCACTAACCTTTACAATTTTTCTTTAGAATCTCCCATAAGCACAGTATCATCAGCAAAAAGTAACTGTGTCAATTCCCATTTTGTATTTAATTCCCCATAATTTAATCCCACCCCTCTCCTCAACACCCTAGCATTTACTTCTTTTACAACCCCATCTATAAATATATTAAACAACCATGGTGACATTACACATCCCTGTCTAAGACCTACTTTTACCGGGAAGTATTTCTCCCTCTCTTCTCACACCCTAACCTGAGCCTCACTATCCTCATAAAACTCTTTACAGCATTTAGTAACTTACCACCTATTCCATATACTTGCAACATCTGCCACATTGCTCCTCTATCCACTCTATCATATGCCTTTTCTAAATCCATAAATGCAATAAAATCTTCCCTACCTTTATCTAAATACTGTTCACATGTATGCTTCAATGTAAACACTTGATCTACACATCCCCTACCCACTCTGAAACCTCCTTGCTCATCCGCAATCTACATTCTGTCTTACCTCTAATTCTTTCAATTATAACCCTACCGTACACTTTTCCTGGTATACTCAGTAAACTTATTTCTCTATAATTTTTACAATCTCTTTTGTCCTCCTTCCCTTTATATAAAGGGACTATACATGCTCTCTGCCAATCCCTAGGTACCTTCCCCTCTTTCATACATTTATTAAACAAAAGTACCAACCACTCCAACACTATATCCCCCCCTGCTTTTAACATTTCTGTCATGATCCCATCAGTTCCAGCTGCTTTACCCCCTTTCATTCTACGTAATGCCTCACGTACCTCCACCACACTTACATTCTGCTCTTCTTCACTCCTAAAAGATGGTATACCTCCCTGACCAGTGCATGAAATTACCGCCTCCCTTTCTTCCTCAACATTTAAAAGTTCCTCAAAATATTCTCGCCATCTACCTAATACCTCCATCTCCCATCTACTAACTCACCTACTCTGTTTTAACTGACAAATCCATACTTTCCCTAGGCTTTCTTAACTTGTTTAACTCACTCCAAATTTTTTTCTTATTTTCATTAAAATTTCTTGACAGTGCCTCTCCCACTCTATCATCTGCTCTCCTTTTGCACTCTCTCACCACTCTCTTCACCTTTTTTTACTCTCCATATACTCTACTCTTCTTATAACACTTCTGCTTTGTAAAAACCTCTCATAAGCTAACTTTTTCTCTTTTATCACACCCTTAACTTCATCATTCCACCAATCACTCCTCTTTCCTCCTGCCCCCTCCCCCCTATAAACCACAAACTTCCCGCCCCACATCTAATACTGCATTTTAAAAAATATTCCAACCCTCTTCAACCCCCCCCACTACTCATACCTGCACCAGCCCACCTTTCTGCTTATATCTCACCTGAACTTCCTCCTCCCTTAGTTTATACACTTTCACCTCCCTCTTACTTGTTGTTGCCATTTTCCTCTTGTCCCATCTACCTCTTACTCTAACTGTAGCTACAACTAAATAATGATCCGATATATCAGTTGCCCCTCTATAAACATGTACATCCTGGAGCCTACCCATCAACCTTTTATCCACCAATACATAATCTAACAAACTACTTTCATTACGTGCTACATCATACCTTGTATATTTATTTATCCTCTTTTTCATAAAATATGTATTACTTATTACCAAACCTCTTTCCACACATACCTCAACTAAAGGCTCCCCATTTACATTTACCCCTGGCACCCCAAATTTACCTACTACTCCTTCCACATTATTATTATTATGTGCTGGTAGTGAGCCTATAACAATAATTATGATTATTATAATTATAATTATAATAACAAAAAAGGCACAATACCGTGACTGGAACGATACACAAATAACCCGCACATAAAAGAGAGAAGCTTACGACGACGTTTCGGTCCGACTTGGACCATTGACAAAGTCACACTAACCAGAGGTGGAGCAGGACGGCTATATATAGGCAGGAAGAGGTGGTGGTAGTAGTAGTAGTAGTAGTAGTACAAGAGTTGTATATAATACGGACAAGATGAAATTAAGACACACGCACAACACCCGGGCATCCCCATCATAGACGTTTCGCCATCCAGCCAGCCACTGGATGGCGAAACGTCCACAACAAACACAACCAGACGCCGCACATGTGTCTTAATTTCATCAGTAGTTGTAGTAGTAGTAGAAGAAGAAGAGGTAGTAGTAGTGGTAGTGGTAGAAGTGGGAAATAAGGAAGACGAGCCAGTCAAATACAAAGGAAGGGGAGCACTGCAAGAGAGCTAGATACCCACAGAGGGAGAGCAAGCGCACAGAGGTGCGTGAAAGGGGAAGTGGTGAAATAAATGAAGAAGGAACAGAAACACGAGACAGGAGAGAGAAAGACAACCCAGAGGAGAAAAGGAAAGAGGAAAGGGGAAGAGGAAGAAGAAAAAGAAAAAATGAGGATTCTTTCTTTTTCTTTTTCTTCTTCTTCCTCTTCCCCTTTCCTTTTCTCCTCTGGGTTGTCTTTCTCTCTCCTGTCTCGTGTTTCTGTTCCTTCTTCATTTATTTCACCACTTCCCCTTTCACGCACCTCTGTGCGCTTGCTCTCCCTCTGTGGGTATCTAGCTCTCTTGCAGTGCTCCCCTTCCTTTGTATTTGACTGGCTCGTCTTCCTTATTTCCCACTTCTACCACTACCACTACTACCTCTTCTTCTTCTACTACTACTACAACTACTGATGAAATTAAGACACATGTGCGGCATCTGGTTGTGTTTGTTGTGGACGTTTCGCCATCCAGTGGCTGGCTGGATGGCGAAACGTCTATGATGGGGATGCCCGGGTGTTGTGCGTGTGTCTTAATTTCATCTTGTCGGTATTATATACAACTCTTGTACTACTACTACTACTACTACTACCACCACCTCTTCCTGCCTATATATAGCCGTCCTGCTCCACCTCTGGTTATTGTGACTTTGTCAATGGTCCAAGTCGGACCGAAACGTCGTCGTAAGCTTCTCTCTTTTATGTGCGGGTTATTTGTGTATAATTATAATGTCCCTATGAGGCCTGGTCACAGACCGGGTCACTGGGGCGTTGACCCCCAGAACTCTCTCCAGGTAAACTTTAGGTAGAGAGTCTGGAACAATTATTATGATTGCTTTTATGATTATTATGATAATTATATCTGGGGAGTGACTAATATTATCATTATATAATTATTATTAAAATTATAAATATTTTTATTATACATTTATATTAACACATCGGCCGTCTCCCACCAAGGCAGGGTGGACCACCAAGGCAGGGTGGACCACCAAGGCAGGGTGGTCCACCAAGGCAGGGTGGACCACCAAGGCAGGGTGGTCCACCAAGGCAGGGTGACCCACCAAGGCAGGGTGGACCACCAAGGCAGGGTGGTCCACCAAGGCAGGGTGGACCACCAAGGCAGGGTGGACCACCAAGGCAGGGTGGTCCACCAAGGCAGGGTGGTCCACCAAGGCAGGGTGGACCACCAAGGCAGGGTGGACCACCAAGGCAGGGTGGACCACCAAGGCAGGGTGGACCACCAAGGCAGGGTGGTCCACCAAGGCAGGGTGGACCACCAAGGCAGGGTGGACCACCAAGGCAGGGTGGACCACCAAGGCAGGGTGGTCCACCAAGGCAGGGTGGTCCACCAAGGCAGGGTGGACCACCAAGGCAGGGTGGACCACCAAGGCAGGGTTGCCCGAAAAAGAAAAACTTTCACCATCATTCACTCCATCACTGTCTTGCCAGAAGGGTGCTTTACACTACAGTTTTTAAACTGCAACATTAACACCCCTCCTTCAGAGTGCAGGCACTGTACTTCCCATCTCCAGGACTCAAGTCCGACCTGCTGGGCTCCCTGAATCCCTTCATAAATGCTACCTTCTCACACTCCAACAGCATGTCAAGTCCTAAAAACAATATGTCTCCACTCCTATCTAACATGCTCATGCTGCTTGCTAGAAGTCCAAGCCCCTCGCACACAAAACCTCCTTTACCCCGTCCCTCCAATCTTTCCTAGGCCGACCCCTACCCCGTCTTCCTTCCACTACAGATTTATACACTCTCGAAGTCATTCTATTTTGTTTCAACCTCTCTACATGTCCAAACCACCTCAACAACCCCTCCCCAGTCCTATGGAAAATACTTTTAGAAACCCCACAACTCATTCTCATCTCCAAACCATAGATTTTCTGCAATATATTCACACCACACATTGCCCTCAGACACTGCCTCCAGCCTTCTCCTTGTTGCAACATTTACAACCCATGCTTCACACCCATACAAGAGTGTTGGTATAACTATACTCTCATACATTCCCCTCTTTGTTTCCATGGATAAAGTTCTTTGTCTCCACAGACTCCTCAGTGCATCACTCACCTTTATCCCCTCATCAATTCTATGATTCACCTCATCCTTCACAGACCACATCCGCTGACACGTCCACTCCTAAATATCTGAATACATTCACCTCCTCCATACTCTCTCCCTCCAGTCTGATATTCAATCTTTCGTTACCTATTTTTTTATTATCCTCATCACCTTACTCTTTCCTATGTTCACGTTAAATTTTCTTCTTTTACATACCCTACCAAACTCATCCACCAACCTCTGCAACTTCTCTTCAGCATCTGCCATAAGCACAGTGTCATCAGCAAAGAGCAAATGTGACAACTCCCACTTTATGTGTTATTATAATTATTATTAAACCAGACACTGGTAAATACAACAGTAAGTGGTGGTAATTACGTACCTGAAGGTAATTAGGTGGCGTAGGCTTGACACAGGAGCCCATAAACGACTGCATGAACTCCCTAATTAGGGACCAACAGAGAGCAGGTGACACACACGGTAGGTACTCCACCTGGAACATAATTACTGCAATAGTTAAGTAGGTACTACATCTGAAACATAATTACTGTGGTAGGTAATTATTCAACCTGGAACATACTGTGGTAGGTAAGCAGGTACTACCCCTGGAACATCCTGTGGTAAGTAGGTATTACACCTGGAACATAACTGCTGTGGTAAGTAGGTACTACACCTGGAACATAATTGCTGTGGTAAGTAGGTACTACACATGTGGAAGGTAAGCAGGTATAACACCTAGAACATTACTGTAGTAGGTAAGCAGGTACTACACATGGAACATAATTACTGTGGTAGGTAAGTAGGTACTACACCTGAAACATAATTACTGTGGCAGATAAGTAGGTACAACTAGAAATTAATTACTATAGTAGGTAAGTAGGTACACCTAGAAATTAAATACTGTGGTAAGTAGGTACTCAACCCAGAGCATAATAACTGTGGTAAGTAGGTACTACATCTGGAACATAATTACTGATGTAAGTACTACACCTGGAACAAAGTGTAGTAGGTACTACACCTGGAACAAAGTGTAGTAGGTACTACACCTGGAACATACTGTAGTAGGTACTACACCTGGAACATACTGTAGTAGGTACTACACCTGGAACATAATTACTGTGGTAAGTTGGTGCTACACCTCGAACATACTGTGGTATTACATCTGGAACATAACTACTGTGGAAGATAAGTAGGTACTACACCTAGAAATTAATTACTATGGTAGGTAAGTAGGTCCTACACCTGGACCTACTTACCTACCACAGAAATTAAGTAGGTACTACACCAGGAACATAACTACTGTGGAAAATAAGTAGGTACTACACCTAAAAATTAAACATTGTGGTAGGTAAGTAGGTCCTACAACTGGAACATAATTACTGTGGTAGGTAAGTAGGTACTACATCTAGAAATTAATTACTGTGGTAGGTAAGTAGGTAGTGCACCCGGAACACAGACAGTACCACTCATGTACTTACCTCCACCAGGATACCCTTGTAGTGGCCACTCATGGAGACAGTGCCAATCTTGACTAGGAAGTCCCCCATTTTGTACTTAGCGTTTTTGGACTCAATTTTAAAAGTTCTTTTTGGGATGGTACATGTGGTCCAGTCTGTAGCAGTAAGTCGAAGAGGAAATTGCACATGTCACCTGCCAACAAAAAATAATAATAATAGTAGTGTAATAATAATAATAATAAAATAATAAATACAATAAATAAAAATAATTAATAATAATAGTGTCGTTGTCGTTTTTTTTATATATGTACTCTTGTTCGATGTACCTGAACAAGGGGTACATAAAAGTTTGGGGAGGTTGGGGTTGAGACGAAAAATGGGGGGGACGGGGAGAATTTGGTAGGGGTTGGGGTTCAGACGAAACCCGGGGGGGACGGGGGGCAGAATGTTGTGTAGGTGGATCTCAGACGAACCCGGGAGGGGGGGGCAGAATGTTGTGAGGGGGATCTCAGAAAAAACCGGGGGGACGGGGCAGAATGTTGGTAGGTTGGGAAACTAGCGAACTGGGAGGGGGCGGGGCAGAAATTTTGGGGAGGTTGGATCTGAGACGAACCTGGAGGGGCGGGGGAGAAGTTGTGTAGGGTTGGATCTCAGCGAACCTGGGGAAAAGGGCGGGGCAAAAATGTTGGAGGTTGGATTGAACGAACCTGGGAGGGACGGGCAGAATGTTGGTAGGTTGGTCTGGACGAACCTGGGGAGGGCGGGGCAGAATGTTGGTAGGTTTGGGTCTGAGACGAACCTGGGAGGGACGGGGGGAGGGGAAAGTTGGGGGAGGTTGGGTCTGAACGAACCTGGTAGGGGGGGGGGCGAATGTTGGTAGGTTTGGGTCTGAGACGAACCTGGGGGGGGGGCGAATGTTGGTGGTTTGGATCTGAGGGCGAACCTGGGAGGGACGGGGGGGGAATGTTGGGTAGGTGAATCTGAACGAAAACCCGGGAGGGATGGGGCAGAATGTTGGGTAGGTTGGATCGGATGAACCTGCTGGGACGGGGGGGAATGTTGGTAGGTTGGATTGAACGAACCCGGGAGGGACGGGGGGGGAAGTTTTGGGTAGGTTGAAACTGAGACAAATCTGCGAGGGGCGGGGGAGAATGTTGGGATTGGTTTGAGACGAACCGCTAGGGGGGGGGAGAAAATTGGGTAGGTTGGATCTGAGACGAACCTGCGAGGGGGCGGGGCAAGAATGTTGGGTGGTTGGGTCCCAACGAACCGCGGGGACGGGGAAATGTTGGGTGGTTGGATCTGAGAGAACCTGCGAGGGACGGGGCAAATGTTGGGTAGGGGTTGAATCGAACGAACCTGGGAGGGCGGGGAGAAAGTTGGGGGGTTGAATTGAGACGAACCTGGGGGGGAGGGGCAGAAAGTTGGGTATTTGGATCTGGACGAACCTGGGAGGGACGGGGGAGAATGTTGGGTAGGTTTTGGGTTGAGACAAACCTGCGAGGGACGGGGCACAGAAGTTGGGTAGGGTTTGGATCGAGACGAAAACCGTAGGGACAGGGGAGAAAGTTGGGGGGGGGTTGGATCTGAGATGAACCTGCGGGGACGGGGCAAAATTTGGGGAGGGTTTGGGTCTGAGCGACCCTGAGAGGGACGGGGCCCGAATGTTGGGTAGGTTGGGCGAGACGAAAAGCGGGGACGGGCAGAATGTTTGGGGGGTTGGATCTGAACGAACCCGCTAGGGAGGGGGAGGGAAAGTTGGGTAGGGTTTGGTTTTTTTGAGACGAACGGAGGGACGGGGCAGAAGTTGGGTTGGTTGGATCAGACGAACCTGCTAAGGAAGGGGGAGAAGTTGGGCAGGTTAATCGAGACGAACCTGCAGGGGCGGGGCAAATGTTGGGTAGGTTGGATCTGAGACAACCTTAGGGAGGGCAGAATTTTTGGGAGGTTTGGGTTTTTAACAACCTGCGGGGCGGGGGAGAATGTTTTGGGTAGGGTTTGGGTCTGAGACGAACCTGCGAGGGACGGGGCAGAATGTTGGGTAGGTTGGATTTGAGACGAACCTGGGAGGGGCGGGGCAGAATGTTGGGTAGGGTTTGGGTTGAGACGAACCGCGAGGGCGGGGGGCAGAATTTGGGGAGGTTTGGGTCTAGAGAACCCGCGAGGGACGGGGGGAAATGTTGGGTAGGTTTGGGATCTGAGACGAACCCGGGAGGGCGGGGGAGAAAGTTGGGTAGGGTTTGGGTCTAACGAAACCCCGGGGACGGGGGAGAATGTTGGTCGGTTTGGTCTGAGCGAACCGCGAGGGACGGGGCAGAATGTTGGGTTTGGTTGGATCGAGACGAACCCGCAGGGAAGGGGGGGGAATGTTGGGTAGGTTGGATCGAGACGAACCTGGGGAAGGGCGGGGCAGAAGTTGGGTAGGTTGGATCTGAAAGGAAAACCTGTGAGGGACGGGGAGAAGTTGTAAAAGCCTTTGTTTTGGGAAATTGTTAAATTACATTTTTTTAATATGCAGTTGTTTGACAGCAAGTGTTAGATCACATTGTTAGGGACCAAAAAAAATGATGATTCTGACTGTCTCGTTCCTAGCGATGCTCTCTGTAGTTAATGATACACTGGATGTATTCCCGGGTCAACGCCCCCCCCGGGCCCCCCCGCCCATAACCCGGCCTCGTAGTGGTCAGGACCGACAACCAGGCGTACTCCTGGCCACAGCCCGGCTGGGCGGTTAGGTTTCTTTATTATGAAACGTTTTCCCCAACAGTAGGCTTTTTCAGTGAGTACAGAAAAATTGATAGAAACAGAAGTACTTGAAGACGATGTAACAGTCCAACCCCTTTAAAATTTTGAGGTGGTCAGTCCCCCGTCTGGAGAAAAGCTTGTTCCTAGTATAAAAAAATATGGAGAGGAAGTGACAGGATGGAGCCCCTTAAATTGCAAGAGGGGAGATAGGGCACTAAAGAGGTAAAACTCAGAGTGAGAGGCAGGTCCCTCTCAAAACCAGCGCTCTCACTAGTGGAAGTTGGTACGTGCAATCAACTTCGACAACTTCCAAGTGAGGCGGCTGGATTTGGAAAGGGGCCCCGACCTTAGCATTTTGAGTTTTTTACCTCTTTTATGACCTACGTCCACCCCTTGGCAATATATAAGGCTCCATCCTGCCTTCATCTCCCTATTGTTTCATACTATGGAACAATGCTCTTCTCCAGACTGAGGGACTGACCACCTCAAAACTTTAAGGGTGATGGACTGATTACATCGTCTTCAAGTATCTTCTGCTTCTATCAACTTTTCTGTACTCGACTGAAGAAGCCTACTGTGTAGGTGAAACGTTTCATAATAAAGATACCTAACTGTTGCATATGTGTCTTACCTAACAACCTGTCGGTATTTTATACCATTTTAATGTTCAACTTCAAGGGTGATGGACTGATTACATCGTCTTCACATCTCTACTGTTCCTGCCTACTTTCTGTATTCGACTGAAGAAGCCTACTGTGTAGGCGAAACGTTTCGGAATAAAGTTGCCTAACTGTTGCCTATGAGTCTTACCTACCAGGTACTGACCTGTCCAGCACCTGGTGATCTGAAAGGCGTGTTTGGAGGTCCCAGGATGTCTCACCCACGTATCATAGTCGCAACCGACACAAGGTATATATATATATATATATATATATATATCATAGAAACCAAGGAGCACAGGACAACCAGCATCCTCTTTCAGAGACTCAGTGTTGCGATCCAGAGAGGAAATGCCTGCAGCATTCTGGGCACGCGGCCCACCGTAGGGGAGCTGGACGAAGTATTCGAGATGTAGCTCTGAGTTAACTATGTTATTTTACTTTCTGTTGTATTTTTGTGAATGTTTGGCCAATGTATTTTGTCTTTAAATAATATCATACTTGAAGGTATAGGGGGGGTGGTAGCGAGAAATTCCAATACAGCTTCAGGGAGAATCTTTGAGTGTTTCCCTGAAGCAAGTGTATTCTTTTCTCTAGGATGGGGTCCCCAGGACTGTTCTAGAGTAGGTACCTCCCTATATTATTATATTTTATATATATATATATATATATATATATATATATTATTTATATTTATATATATATATATACCCTATGCAGAACGTAGTCAATTATAGGATGTAATCTATACAATGTATTGTTTCTGACGGTGTCGATATTTCTGTCATTTATCTTCAATAAAAATTAATAAAAATAAATAGTATTTAATAATTTTGAGACATTTTCCACATGCAAATTAAAGTTATTTATATTGATTTTTTGATAGATGTGAAACATAGTCAGCGTCAGGTAGGTCAGGTCAGGTCAGGTGAGGTTAGGTTAGGTCAGGTTAGGTTAGGTTAGGTTAGCGTTAGGTGAGGTTTTAGGTTAGGTTCAGGTTAGGTTAGGTCAGGTCAGGTTAGGTTAGGTTCAGGTCAGGTTAGTTAGGTCTGGGCTGGTTAGGTCAGGTAGTGAGGGTCAGGTTAGGTGAGGGTCTGGTCAGGTTTAGGTAGGTCAGGTCAGGTTAGGTTAGTTATGCGTCAGGTTAGGTTAGGTCAGGTCAGGTTAGGTTAGGTCAGGTCAGTGTTTGCGTCAGGTCAGGTTAGGTTAGGTCAGTCAGGTGAGTGTCATGGTTAGGTGAGGTCAGGTCAGGTCAGGTTAGTTGAGGTCAGGTCAGGTCAGGTCAGGTCAGGTTAGGTCAGGTCAGGTTAGGTTAGGTCAGATCAGGTCAGCTTAGGTTAGGTTAGGTCAGGTCAGGTTAGGTTAGGTCAGGTCAGGTCAGGTTAGGATAGGTCAGATTCAGGTCTGCTTTGGGGTCTGGTTAGGTTCGGTAAGGTTAGGTTCAGTCAGGTCAGGTGAGGTTAGGTTAGGTTAGGTTAGGTTAGGTTAGGTCAGGTTAGGTCAGGTTAGGTTAGGTTAGGTCAGGTTAGGTCAGGTTAGGTTAGGTCAGGTCAGGTCAGGTTAGGTCAGGTTAGGTCAGGTCAGGTTAGGTTAGGTCAGGTCAGGTCAGGTCAGGTTAGGTTAGGTTAGGTCAGGTCAGGTTAGGTCAGGTTAGGCTACTGTAAGAAAATATCACACAAGGTGACCTGGCCTGCAGGTTACTAGTCTGTACCTGGACCAGGCCTGCCTGCTGTTAGCAGCTAGCCTGTTCAAGCAGGTTGTTAGTGCCAGTATCAAGGGTACAATAAAA